TGATTCCTTTTAAATCTGTAACAAGGGGTAGATCATTTTATGATCTCTTTTTCTCTTGGCCTTTTTGCATATTTCTTTCTTTTGCCTTTTGGTTTAATAGAGAAGGAAAACAAATTACAAGGAAGTGTATATGAACTCTGTTATAATGTAAGAAATCTCGCTTGTATATAATTTTTCCCTGGAAATACCAGTCCTTGACTTTGATCAAAGTTTCTTTGAAACTTCTCACTTAATTTCTCTATTTTTGATAGTTTGAACACACTGCATGTTGATTAATAGCACCAACCGAGAAACATTTTTGAGCGAATCCCTTTTTATTTAAAGTGAAAGAGCTTACATAAATTGATGGTTGGTTGAATCATTTTATTGAATACAAATAAAATCTATATGTACAGGTTTAATCTATTGATACAAGGAAACCTATATACTTCAATGACTATATTATTCGTCTCTAAATAAGGAATTCAAATATGAGAGTATAGATATCAAACATGCCCAACTTCAATGGTGATGTATGGAACACCACGAATGGTAAAATGAATCATTATATTGGCTAGTTGATCTTCACTTTTAACGTAGTTAGGCTTGGACATGATTAGGTATGGAATGGTTCGATTCTCTTTATAATTGAATTAAATCGGGTCAAAATTTTTGTATATTTAATTAGTGGAACTGTTGTGTCCAAATTTAGTTAGGGACTTGAACGATTCCATTTAGTTTGATTTATTACCCTAATTAAAAATTTTTACATCAACGCTACATTAATCTAACAAATGATGTACTCAATTTTAACTCTTATAACTTTGCTTCAAGCCTTCAAGTATATGTGTGTGTGTGTGTGTGTGTGTGTGTGTACTCACCGACAATTTGAATTAATAATTCATTATTTGACTTGTCACATTAAGAAGCTCTATTGAAAAAGCACAATTAACAAACATAAATAAATTAAAAATTGTATAACTAATAAGAGTTAAACCCCGAAAGCCCTCCCAAGGATCTAACCCCCTTTCTCAACTAGTCTTAAGTTCAGCGGTGTATTTTATTACCTATTTCAATGTTTTCATAGAACTGTCTCTCTTTAATACAAACTCTATCTTGGAAAACTTTTAGAAACTTATATTCTTTCTTAGCCAGTTTTGTATACAAATCAAGGCCTCAACTTTTTTAAGAGTTAAAGGACTCCTAAATGGATCAAGAACTAACAGTCACTACATTATGAATTAACAAGCAATGCTCATTCCTGATTTCTAGATAGACGTTTAATGCTGGAAAATAATGAACTAATCCTACGCTACAAATAATAAACTACATTTTAGGAAACAACATGAAAGAGTAACATACATATATATAACAATAAAGCCACAACAATTATTTGGTGCTAGATATATTCCGAGTCAAAATGCAAACCACTGAGAACCTATATAAGAAAGATCGACTATGTTTTCTTGAATTGGTCTTTATACGTTCACGAATTGGATTTAAAAATGAGGAATGATGTAGAAACGCTTACGAATATAGGATTTGATGGAGTGATACGTGTGGATATTAAGGAGCAAAGATGAAGTCACTATTTGTGAGAGGAGATAGGCTGAAAACGAAGGCAACAGCTAAATCTAAATGACAAAATAAGTGAGTGTTAGGTGAATTGTGAAGTGAAGTTGGATTTGGGTTGAAATTTGTAGGAACAAAATATTTTGGGTTCAAGTTGGGCTGGTTCCTCGGGAGATGGAACCTTGGGCATTTACAGTTAATCATTTAACAACTTTTGCTGGCTGTACAGACCCTGTGTTCACATGGCCTGTACAGGCCGGACTGAATATAAGGGAGGGGGGTGGGTAAATTTTTTTTTTAAATAATCCCCCACCCCCTCACACAGCATGTGAGGGGGCCTGTACAGGCCTTGTAAACGCAAGGCCTGTACATTTGGCTTTTTTCATCATTTAATTAATTAATTGGCAAATTTATTTAGAATTTTTTTTTTATTTTTTTACTTTTCCAAGTCACTAGGTGTCCAACAAATGATGCATATCCCAACATAAACTTCGTATCTAATCTCGATCCAACAAAGTCAAAATCTATATAACGCACAAAATCCATAATTCCCTGTCTAGAGAATAAAATATCCTTACATGGGAGGATTTTAATTACATCAAGCAACAATTTATTGCACAGACTCGCAATACTCACTGCATTTGAAAATCAAGACTCGTGTGAATCAAATGATCAACTTCCTAACTAGTCTTTGATATCTCTATTTGTTTGCCTGAGTTTGATCAGGATAGATAGATAAGCTATGGTTCACCTCAATAGGAGTGTCTACAAGCTCACATGCTGAGTTACCAGTCTTTTAGCGAGAGATCTATTATATACTTCCATTGACAAAGAAAAAGCCCTTGTTAGAACCGAGATATGTCAATGCCCAAGAAGTATTCTAGATTTCCCAACCTTCATTTCAAATTCCTTAGCCAAATAATTACTACCTGTAGCTATCATGTCAAAGCCTGCTTACATTCACACCTTCATTGAGTAGCTCAACCTACCAAACAAAGCCATTGGTGATTTCTTCAAACAATACAGGGCCATCCTTAGCCAACACATCTTACCTTGCAATAATGTAAATTTTGGATGTGGGTCCATACATGACACGACCCGTCCCGACTCAACCTAATTGACTCGATACGTGTTGTGCGTCGGTGGTAAATGCCAGCTAAATGTCGGACCCACCACCAAGGCAAACTTGACATATTTGACTGTGCTATATTTCTATGAAAATTTTGACAGAGTTTTCCCTTAAAAATGGACAAAATCAACCTGAAAAATCATCAAGATTTCAGATAGACATTCAAACCAAAAAGTTTTGGAAATCACCACTTCCACTAATTCCACCACAACTAAAACAAAATATAACAAAATTCGACTGAGTGCTTCTACAACAACATCATGTCTACATGCAAGCATTACATCAATTACAAACCCTTCTACAAAGTGCATGACACCCCAAATATTAGACAAGGTACTTAATAAACATGAGTCCCCCAACAATTCATTACATACTATGAACGGTCTCTTTCGCTTCAGCATGCTTTTCCAAGTATCTCAAAATCAACAATCTCCTGATAGGAAAAACATGACAAAAATATGAGTTCGGAACTCAGTGAGTGGATGATTTGCAAATAAGTAAATTTTTTCCATTTATGCATATTTTTTAAAAATTTTAACTTTATTAAATCCTTGAGAATTTCTGAATCTAGTAATACTTTTAAGAACTAAACGTGATTATATTATAAAATTCTTTGTTCTAAATTCTAGATAAGTATCTGAAAGGTATAACAAAAATAAAGAATTTGATATTCATGAAAATCTATGAAATATTGCTGCTGCACAATACTATAAGTTGAAAGCTTTATTCTGAAAACTAACTTAACTGAATTCCATAATCTGAAATCTGAGAACTGAATGAATACTGAAAAATCACACAGTAAGGAGTACCCAATGAATAGCCTTACTCATGTACAGAGTAATCTTGATGTACAAGGCAAAGCCATTCAAATCTGATAATCTGATAATCTGGTCATACGTACGCAGAGCTGCCCCAAAGGCTAATCACCCTAGTACACGGCCTAAAGTCTATGTGTGTACGAGAGTGGGTCCCATAGACCTCTGATAATCTGGTCATACACTATAGAAACACATTCACGATAGTGCAGAGCAGGTAAAATCACTATAACTAGTCATACACTGTGGAAACACATTCACATCAGTGCAAACTGTGGTAAAATCACCTGGCTACTTTCTGATGATTTTTAGAAATAACTTTAAATATACTGAAACATGTAATAAGAATATAACATGCTACTAAAATAATTTAACTGAACTGAATTTAACTTTAAAAGCAATTGATACTAAAATCCATTTTATTCTGAAAATCATGCTATGAAGTCAACTTTATAAAATAAATAACTTTAAAATTTAAACAAGACTTATTTCTGAAAAATAAGTTTTATCCACCTCACAAGGTAGGAGCTACAAGCTAGATTGCCTGATAAACGTTTCCAATTTCCTCGTCACCACCTGAAATACCATTTTATTAACCAATTTATCCTTTATTTAATCAAGAAACCTTAATATCTAATGATAGAACTTAATTTCAATTCTCTTGACACTTGGAATAAATTCTCAAATTTTCCTTTATTAATTGGAGCTAGTCACACTTTATAATCCATTTTCTAATAACTAATTTATCAACAAAACCTTATTCCCAGGTTTAAAACTAATTTACTCTCCAATCAAGTGAAACTAGTAACCATAATTCCACCTATTTAATGTACATTTTGTTCCATAAAATCAACTCCAAAGTGAAATATTTCATTTATATAATCATTCCACAATTAATTAATCAAAATCCCTCCCCAAAAAAAAAATTGGCATCTCCTTATCTTAATGTAGATAGAAATTCAAGAATCAATAACCTGAGCTCCAAGTAGTATTCATCTCAAAAATCTGAAAATTTCGAGCCAAAAATAAAACCCTAGAATTTTAACATGATTCATACTTTATCACTTGAAACAAATGGAAAAATTCAACCCAATCTTGAAGAGATTAGCCTTACCTCTTTTCTTCTTCTTCCATTTTCTTCTTTCTTTTTTTCTTCCCTTTTTCCCTAATTTTTTCTCTCTTTTTCGGTCTCCAACTTGCTGCTTATTTTTCTCACTCTCTGTGTGTGTTTTTGAGATAAAATGGGTCAATGGTTGAATATAATGGTCCACTTACCCAAAATTGCAAAATAAGTCCTTCAACTCCCTTTTTGAATGACATTTAATCCTATAACTTCCAAAAATATATAAGTAAATTCCAAAGTTTGAAATGTATCCAATTTAACCTTCATATTTTGCCAATTGCAAAATAATCCCAAATAAAATATTTAATTTCATTTTAGTACTTAATTGACTTGACTTTGAAAATTCCACTATTGACTTTGATTAGATAAAAATGTGGGTTGTAACAATCTTACCTCCTTAAAAGAATTTCGTCCTCGAAATTCAAATGGCAACTGACTGGGTAATGAATAAGTGAGGATATTGAGCACGCATCTGATCCTCATTCTCCCACGTAGCCTATTCTACTGTCTGATTCTGCCAAATTACTTTAACAAGTGAAACTGTCTGGTTTAGTTGAGTTTGTACTTTCTTATCTAAGATTTTCACTGGCT